CGCAAAAAAATCAGTTTTTTTCCCACCTGCAGTTCGCCACCTGCAATTTGATACTAGTAAAGTTATTATTAACGTTAGCAGATTGTTACAAAAATTGTCCTGCAGACTAATCGGACCTTGACAAAATATGCGTCGTCTAGCTTTACCTTGTAAATCCTCGTTAAACCATAAAAATGATGCTTGTGTGGGGTGGGGGAAGAAAAAAGCGCCAAAAACGTTTGCAAATGCACCGCTAATTCATTTCTAGATTCATCGCTTGATGAATCCCTCCTCACAACCCTGGGGGCCTTCAATTTACTCACTCAAGTTCATTTTATTAGTCCCCAACCCCGCACCTCGTCCCATATTTACTATTGGGCCGGAGAAGGTAAATGGGAGGGGGGGGGGGGGGGGGGGAGGGCGTGGACAGAAGAGATCACTCTACACTCATTCTGCTAGCGTGTGCTAACATACATTTAATTTCTATAATGTAGTAATTTCGTAAACAACTTTTTGTGTCAGTTTTTAGCAAAAATTTTACTCAAAACTAAGCAAATCCTTTAACTCTAGAATCTAAGGTTTTTTTCACTTATACCGCCCAAAAAGTCATTTTTTCACTATCGTTAGCTGAAACTATCTTACTTCAATTTGATTGGCTAGAATTAGCCTATCAAATTTCAGCACCATTTTAAAATGTTTTCTCTATACAATCTTCAGTCGATTCATAATAGGGGCCGAATTAGCCGGAAAATTAATTATTTTGAAAATTGTTCGTGTGATAGAAATAACCTGCAGTTTTACTTAGACCAGAAAAAAACACAAAAAATATGCTAAACATCTCATAAAAACTTGGCCTTGTTAGAAATAAGCTAAAAAAATTATTTGAATTCCCTGGATCCATTTCTACATTTTCTGAAACTCTCATCCTTGGTTTCAAACCGTGATAAAAAGTAATGCCGTTTCAATTGTGTTCTGAAAACTTCAAGTTGATAGCTGCAAAACTGTTTGCTGATTTCTTACGCACTTTCATTTTTTTTAAGCTAATTGTTTTTACTAAAATAAACGTTGGGGTCGATTAATAGATCCCTTTGTTTAAATTGGTAACTTAAGTTATAAGTCTCGTTTAAACTATATCATAGAACATAGTTGATCTGATCTTAGAGTTAAAGTGATTGTAATATAAACAGATAAATTAAAAAGGTTGATTAAATATACAAGGTTAAGTGTTATGCACAACTGTTCATCCATTGTTAACTTTTACCAATAGGAGGGTTTGTTGATTTTTTTAACTTATTGCTTTTTATTTTTTAAAAGATTCGTAGGAAAGTAGCGAATATAAGGTGTGGAGAAGTTGTTGTACAATTCTTGCCGGGAAAGGTTACACTGTCTAATCCTCAGTGTCAGTTGGGGTACTGTCAGATGCTAGGGTGGTGGCACCTCGTTTTCTTTTCGGTCCGTCAAATTTGACTGAAGAAATTTCTTCACTTAAATTTTGAGTGAAGTTTTGAGTGAATCTATTTGATGCGAAAATTTACTCTCCGAGCATTTTAGGTTTTTGTAAGAAGAAGTTGAAAATTGAAAATATTTTGGCCGTCCGTTTCAGCGTAAGAAATTAGAGTCACTGAAAAAGGCAGGCAGGCTCATCCGAAACAGTTTTAGTTTTGTTTCCCCTGCACCTGCTATTAAACTTCGGTTCTCCGCTCTTTTTATCTCTGTTTGTCTCTTATCCTCCGTTTGATCAGGAGACTGATATTTGCATTTAATCGCAATTTGCAATATTTAGTTTAACTGGGGGAACAATAATTCCATCTGCTTTAGTTACTTTAAAATTTAGAGCAGCGGGGGTTTCATCCTTTTTCAAAGCCAAAACATTAGTCACACTCCGCCTGACTGGCTTCGTGGATAAATACTCAGTTCCCTCGATCATCCGTTAAACTTTATTGAAAATTTTGCCCTTTTCCAAGGTAAATAAAACTTTAAGAAAAAAATCCGTTCAGTGTTCGAAAAGTTAGATATTTGGATTTGACTTTTAAAGTTTTAAGTTAAGTTGTTCAGTTGAAATTTGAATCAAATATTAAGTTAAAAAAATTCTTATCTTGCGGTGTGAACAAATTTAGAGAAGAAAAGAGTCCACTCGGATCTTATGAAAACAATTAAAACAATAGCCTTTTATTTCAGTGTAGCATTTCCAATACTACACTATGAGAGTGTTTCCCCAGTTTTGTAAAACTAATGACAATTGGTAATTAAATTGAATTGATAATATAGAAAAACTGTTTTCCTAGCTTTTGTGAGACAGTTTTTTTTTTTTTAATTTTGCAAATGATGGCAAAGCGCTTCGTTTTTATCTCTGTCTAAATTACAATTAAGCATCGCATACTTTGCTTAGGCCGTAAAGAATGATCTGGTCTGCAAATAAGATCCCCTACCATTTCTAAAACATTGCATTAGGTTGAAATCGTAACTCGCCATCAAATTCAAATCTCCATATTTGTTTCATTTTAAGTTTCATTTTGGCTGTCTCGAAAATTGAACTTGTTTAGAACCCGGGTTGACCTCCATAGACCAAAAATGCTAATCATACAATTCCATAAACTAAGTTTATGAAAAAATACTAGTCATATAAAATTTCATACATTTTGCTAAATTGGTGCCGTCGACCATTCAAAAAACTTTTTTCTTGTTGTGGCATAAAACTCGGTGAATCGTACTACATAAAAAAAGAAAAACTTATGGAAAATGTATGACTAGCTTTTTTTTTCATGGCGACGACAATTATTTTTCAAAGTATTTTTGTGTGTTTTTTTTCAACGTACATTTGATTTCCGTACTCATACAAACATTTTTAAAAAATTTTGCATGCAAAATTTAATTTTTTGTGTGTATAAAGTAGTCCTAGATATACTAATATCGGATTTTTTTTTCCTTTTTCTTCATAACTTTTTCAAAAACGCTTAAAACTCCTTTTTTTTGTATGACATGTTTTCCTATGCTTTGAGCAATGTCTGGCAATTTAAAAATTCAAATTTTACAAATAATCATCTTTGAAAATTTTTGCCAAAATTTAAAAGTTCGTTGCTTTTGTTATTTTATTTGTGTGAGACAGAATTAAAACATTTCAGGCTGTTTCCAAAGCTTATTTATCACGAGACGGCCAAACTTTTGGTTACTACGTTTGAATAATCAAGGTTTATGTCATTTGTATTCGGTTACGAACACAACCAGAAAATTTTGAGATATTAAAATGTAAAAAATCAAAATTTTTGGTTTATGGAAAAATGCTAGTCATACAATTTCCATATATGAAAAAATACTAATCATAGACCTTTCATGCAATTTTCTGTGCTTATGGAATTGCATGAAAAGCGTATGATTAGCATTTTTCCATATATGAAAATTATATGACTAGCATTTTTGGTCAACCCCGGAACTTACTGGGTATTAAAACACATAATTCGTTCTTTTTTCAACTTTCGAAACAGTAATTGAGTTTTTGATGAATCCTATGCTGATCCAAAAACAGAAAAACAATTAATAAGGAAACTTTCGACTTGTATTATATTTTTGAAAATCACTATTTCAAACCGTGCAAAAGGACCCAACATTTGTCAATATAGAATTTTATTTAAAAAAATTATTCTTTTTTCTGACGTTTTTGGTGTTCCGATTACTTACTAGGGTTTATATATGGATTCGGCTATTTTTTTGATGGCACAGAAAAAGAAAAAAGTTAATTTGGTTGGGTCAATTTCAGTTGTAATTCGAAACACAGCAAAAACTTGTATAATTCAGTTTTTTTTATTGATTTAGATTCAAACATGTAGTCACCAGTCCAGACTCTGCAGCCATGAACAATCTGCCAAAAAAGTGTTCGTTTCCCATTTTTAAGAATAGCAACACAAATTAGATTTCAATAGATAAGGCAATAAAAGTAATTAAAACACTCAAAATTGCCCAGTTCGTAATTTTAACTTAGAGTGGTACAATGTGTTTGGCAAACAGAATTCATTTACCCGCACTCATTAAAAAGAGAAAATAATCAGTTATATTACAATTATGAATGTACTTTTATCAAAACTATAATTAAAACGAAAAGCCAAGCTTAGATGTTCAAACAATTTATAATCCATTTTCATGATAACAATTTTCATGACATTATAATAAATTATAATTAATTATAATTGATTAAATTGTTTCCGAAAACCTCTTATAATCTCTTTTAATCTCCTACAATTTCTTATAATCTGTTATAATCTATTATAATAGTTCACAATAATTTTTTCATTATCAATTGTCTTGCCACTTTTTGGTTCATCTGAGCACAAAGTCATACCACGAAACAGAAGTTTCATAGAGATCCCTTCATATTAGTTGAAAGAACTCCGCGCTATGAGAAATATAACTCTTCTATATAAATCATGCAACTAATGCAGTGTGCTGATGTTTCAGTGGTAATTTTTTTTTTAAAATATACATCATGAAACAACTTTAATCAAGAAGAAATGAAAAAATAAAAACGTTATAAATTTGAATTGATTTGAAAAATTTAAGAACAGTTTTCCCATTTTTCAGATAAACCAACGTCTACAAAAAGCATAAAATATAAGCAATTAACATGCAAGGTCGAAGACAAAAGCGGCAAACAAAAGGATTGTTAACGATCATAATGGATTTTTACTGCAAAACAAGTGAGATAGGAATTCGGATAAAACAATTGTTTATAATCGATTATTATGTTTTATAATTGATTATATTTGATTTCAAAAAGAGCGGTTATAATCAATTATTAATTGATTGAAATCATATTTTTCTCAATTTTTGTAAGACTGGTACTAGAATCATTTTATATTCGATTATTAACGCTTGAAACTGTATGTGGGTGTTTTATTCACATCAATATTGGTTTAATTATACATTGGGTTAATTTTTCTGTCCATTTTTTTCGTTATCCACGCTGTTAGACTATCGAAAACTGCGGCCAGCATATCACAAAACAGAAAGAGGAATTCAACCACTGTGACCAAACTCGCACCAATGAATATTCCTCCGAGTCCGCCAAATGCACTGATGATGTCCAGGAATGAGAACTTGAGGCTCACTGTAATCTCAGTTGAAATCATCGACTGATTTTGGTCAGAGCTGTTTATAATTTATTTACTATGAATTTAGGCCTATCCTTAAAAAAAAACATCTTTTTTTCAAATACTAGGCGCTCTAACGTTCGAAAATGTTATTTCCAGAATCTTTCTGATTCCACGAGAAAACCTCTTGATATTTCCGCCAAACTTAATAAGGAAAACTCAGGTTTTTATAATATTGACTCAAAAGGCAGCCAGTTAACCATTGAATCAATGATGCATTTACAGCTTTTGCACATGCTCATAATTTTCCTGCATTTAGTTTTTGATTTTTTTAAACACCCCTGAATTTGAATGCTGACGTCAAATGCATTTCGTCGCCAGTACTCCTCTGAAAAATTAGAGAGAATTGGATTCAATTGTCGCATTCTGGCATACGATTCGCGTGATGGAAATTTAGTTGACTGCGTTTTTATATGGTATGACTTGAAATCGCATTGAGGACGGCACTCCATACTGCATTCACCTGCAAAAATAATTCTATAAAGCAAGAAACATTCGTTTTAAATTTTTAACTTATTCTTTTTTCTATTTGTTTTGGTAATCCTTGATTTACATCTGCAACCGCAAAAATACTCTTAAATAATATTTTTTGGCAATGTTTTGCAATTGTTCTTGCGATTGCATTAAATCAAACTAGAAAACAAAAAAAAACTACAATGTTGAATTCGAATTTTTGGTCATTTTAGATTGAAACTTTACTCTATTAGGTTAGTAATTAAATTTGAATCAGCAACAACTCAGATTCAATAAAGAAGGTTGTTGGAGCCAAAATATTCAAGAAAATTTTTTGTCGAAACTTTTTAAGTTAAGCTTTTAACTTTCCAAATGAAAAGCTAAAAAAAACAGATCTAGCAAAAAACCTTTTTTGATGGGTTGAGAACTTACGGTATCACTAAACAATTGAATCAACATTGCACTGAATCAACATTGCACTTGAGCGCTACAACATTGCGAAATTAGTAGCGATCAAGGAATGGCATCCAGAATGATTAAGTAAGTTGCCCATGAAAAAGCTAAGTAGATTATCTCATTTGAAAAGAGAAAAATCATGATTATACTGTCAGTTATCGTAGCAGGCTTTGAATTGATAAGCGTAGCTTTCATTTCGCGAATGCAACTTATGAAGAGAATCTTTATTAATGGTAAAAAAACAAACTAATTGAGCTGACATGTTCAAAAGATGGAAGTATATTGATGAAACAATTTAACAATTTTCCGTTATGATTCGTATTATAAAGATATTTCACCTGTGATCGTTTTTTGTAAAGTTATGAAGGTTTAAAGGTTGCCATTTTGGCCATTTTGACCAATTTGGGACAATTACCGCGCGATATAATTCGCGCTATTAACGCGTAAGCGGAGATTTAATCCGTCTTATAAATCGTTTCAAATTGGTTGAACGAAGCTTATTTGCCATAATTGATTTGTTACAAGGAACGAAATCTATCTTTTTCTGCTTTATATGGCGTGTGGGGGATGATTTTCATTAAAAAAACTTTAAAAAGTTTTAATTTTTTCTATGTTCTTACTGCTACTCCATAAACCTTAAAAGGCAGTCGGAAAATTCAGGGCTTTGGCTTGATACGAGCAGTTTTGTTTCGAATTGTTTTTAGTACAAGATAAAAAGTTCATCCACCCGCCCAATAAAAAAGTTCACGCGATATAATCTGATCGTGGAAAAGAGTTGAGTACCTTCTTAAATATATCAAACGATTTAAACTGGCAATGGTCTTTTTTGCAGTGCTAAATCAATTAGAGTTGATGCGTTTATTTTTTACCCCAGCAGTACGAACAAATTATAAATAAAAATTGCACAACGCTTCATCGAAAATGCTTCGACAGTGAAAAATTTTAAAAAACGTAATTAATTTCAATTTCAATACCAAAATTGCTTTGTAGAAAAAAAATCCCAAGCATAATCATTTTAAGACAATTCATCTGACCATCTTGCTGGCGTCTTGCAGCTTTTTCAACCCAAGATTTCAATTGATTGCCATATCCCAATATTATAATCAATTAAAGTTTTCGTCCTTAATTTTCCGAAAAAAAAAACTATTATTATACATGAGAATGAAAAGATTTAATTTCAGAAAAAAGATGTGGTATAACAAGTTAAAATGAATTTTATAAAAGTAGCAAAAACTTGTTATCTATTGAATTTTATACTTGTAGGATAGGGTTACCACGTTTTCAAGAACCACAACAAACTGTTTTGAAAACTCGATCATATTTCAAAAAAAATGTCAGTTTCACCCATATATGAGGAAAGAAATAGTGGCATTGAAACAATCACATAAAATCCTTTGGAAAAGTTTGCTTCTTTTCTGTAATTGAGGTTAACTGAATTTTCTTAAAGAGTTTGATATTGAAAAATTAAAGTTATTGAATACAACTTTTCTTTCCGCCACTGCAAACAGTTTTTTTGACAATTTTTATTTTGTTATTGTTGTAGACCTCAAAACATGGATATTTTTTTCTGAGCAATACCGGCTAGATGTATTGCTTCAAAGTCGCTATTCTAAAATTGAATTTCACTTCTGATTACGGTTTTTAACGTAAGGTCAGCTTTGAACGTTTGATAGATAATTACATCAAAATTTTATCCAATATTTTAGAGTTTCACTTTTCTCTGATGTGTTTATCTGTTGCTGAAGAATAATAAAAATTATATTTCCTATAAACCAAATTACTCTATATGTACGCATTTGAAAGATCATTTAGAAACTTATTATCTATTTTTTATGTAACGTTAAAGTTGTTTTGCTTACCCAATGCCTCGCCACTGTCGAAAGGGCAAACGACCATGTCCAATAAACCACAGATTCGTATTTTATCATCGGCTCTTGCATACCTCAGCATATTACAATCACAACTCATTTGCTCTTTCAGAGTAATGCATTCACCTATGCATAGAGGGTAAGTATATTCCTCACTATACTTAAGGACCCCTCGTGTACCCTCATTGAGACAATCTGTTGTTCCCGAGTTGTCAGCGTATTGGAACAATTCGAGTCCAATATTGTGAGAATACCCCGGACCAATTTTAGTCATTATATTATGATCTTTGACCGAGAAGTGACTACCAGGCATAACGAAATAAATTTCCACCTGCAAGTCATTTCTGCCAGTGACGCTAGCAGATACTGGGTCGATCATGAAGCTGATTTGAAGGCGCTCGTAGGGTCCATGAACAAATGCATTTGTAAGAGTAAGTTTATGACAGAATATTGAGGTAGTTTGTTGCTGAGTCCAATGCAATGCATCAAGGCAATTATCATCTAATAAAAATAACATGAAAGTTTTTTCAGCACAATCTGAGTGCCGAGATTACTCAAGAATTTATATGTAAAAAATTAGTTCTATAAATTTTTTGGAAGAGAATTTCATTTTACATGAAACTTCTAGAAGATGCATATACAGATGCATATAATCGCGAAAATTTTTTATTGAATAACTCATTGTCAAAGCACGATTTTCTAGAACATAAGTTTCATGCTTTTATCGATAAGTTCTGGCAAAAATGTAAGAAAACGCTACCTCTCCATAAGCAACGTATGAAAAATTGTTCAAATTTTGGTAGCATCCGTTTTATTAGTGTAGTGGTGTCTCCAGATGAAGTTGTTTGGTCACTCTTTGATCCCTGTTCAGCTGCGAAGTCAATCAAAGTGTTCTCAAGACTACTTTGCACTCCTTTGAACAGCAGAAAAAGTTTCTTTGACAAAATGATCAATTTCCTTAAAAACATTAAGATGTACTTTTGCTGCATTAGAGAAATTCAACAAATAACGCTTAAAATATCTAATTTGAAGTTAAAGTTTTCCCAATGATACTTTGTACACTGAAATTGGCAACAAACTTTTCATTGCATTCATTCACTCTCGCATCTGTTTTAGGATATATTGAACCTCGTAGGAGTGTTTAGGAAGTTATTGGATAGTTTTGCTTTTCTTAAGAAACTATATTTGAGAGGGCATCGATTTGTTTGGCTTACATATATTTGAGTGACTCATCTCCATGCTAGGAAAGTGCCCGTCATGCAATTAAGGTGCATGAGAACTGCAACTCATGCAAGTTTACTCTCTTCAATTTAGCACGTCGATTTAGAAAAACAACAAACCATAAAAAGAAGTCGTTATTGGATCCAAGTTTGCAGTGGTGTACAATTTGCCCCATTCTTCCTCCAAATGTGGGTACTTCTCAAACCCGGCCGAGACGTTTTTCCGAATGACGTCTCGTATTCCCGAGAAAATGGGATGTTCGGAGAGACTTCCTAGAAAAGAAAACATAGGTCCAACGGTTCCCGGAAAGAAGGATTCGAACGCAGTCTGATTCGGCAAAGTAGGACAAATCAGAATTTCGGGCATTTGAATTTGCTCATGATTTCTATAATGTAAATCAGTTCTAATTGGTCTCTTGATTATGTAAGTGTCGAATGACAAAATGGAGTAATAAATAAATAAACCAAAAAACAAACTGGATATGATTAACCAGCATAATTTGGTTCGTTGAAGCCGGAGTCCGAAAAAATTGTTGATTCCGTGGTAGGAACTTTCCATTGCAAAGTTGCGTATTATATGAAAAACCTTTAAAAACATCTTTTCTTCTGATGTGCGTGAACTTGCTGTTGATCAATCTTGGCAGAAATTACGAACTGTGACTTTATTGATGCTTTTTACTCTTTCCGCCCCAAATTAATTAACCAGCGAATCACTTATTGATTGAACGTCGTAGTTCAAGTTATGCGTGGTGGCAATATATTTTTTGTTTAATTTATTATCTTTTATTTTCATCTCCTGCCGTTTTTTAATCTGAGATTTGATTGCCTGGGCGGAAAAAATGAAAAGATCCCCATATTAATTTTAAAATTCAGCTGTTTAGAACCGAGACTCCATTCAAAAAGTTCTTTTTGTCATTTTATTATGATTCAATTATTTGATTATCATGATTTAATCATTTAGAGTATTAGAAAAAAGCCGCAAATCAAGCAAAGCGCAATAACTTGAACTTAAAAGGAATCCCCTGGCGCCTTCAATGTGCAAACTGTGTTTCCCTGATTATATAAATTTCTAAATATTTAATTTTTACTATGTAGGTGGAGGAATGTTTCTCGACAATTTGGCTCTTAAAACGAAGATAACACGAAACAGAGTCATCAGGCCGAATCCTGCTACCTAAATCGAGATCATTATAGTACCGACCAGTTCTATGTTAGTATGTGGCGCAATAAATACTAAATTGACTAAATTTTTCTCAATAAATTTTGATTTGTTTTCTCAGAAGTAGTGGGTTGCAAAGGTTACATTTGGTATCGATTGTTCCCTATAACAATGTCTGATTGGAGAATTTGAAATTCCTATGTAGATTTAAGGGGAATTTGTTAACAATTTTTTTGTTTTCGAGGCAGTAGAATTAAACAGAGTAAAAAAACAAATTAAGGATTGCTGTATTGAACAATCTACATTTTACATTTTGCGAGCTATACCTTTGAAATTTTACTGAAAAACTTCAAATTCAAAGCAACTTGTGGCGATAAATTAAGCCATAACAAAGCTATTGCGTTGTATAAATAATTAAATCAAATGACTTGAAATCATGACCTTGAGATTAACTTTTAAAAAAAAATCCTATTTCGGTTTTCTTGGAAGTCTTAGAAAAAATATTCCAAGATTGATAATCATGGCCTCTATGCGGCCTCCTGAGCTGCTTAGCCATCAGATGGAATTCTGAGAATAAGTTTATATATTAAGTTATAAGAGACAGAAATACTTTTGTTGTAATTTTTTGTCATTTTCCTAAAGTCATTTAATTATATTAAAAAAACTGATTACAGTTGATTACAGTATGATTTTGCGCCAAAATCATACTGTAATCAACTGTAATCAGTTTTTTTATTATAATTAAATGACTTTAGGAAAAGACAGTTTACGCTTAACGCGAAAAAGTGTTCGGTTTTTTGGTGCATCTTCAGGATTAAAGCTTGTTACAAAATTTGTGAATAATCAGAAATTTGAAAAACATGACAAACATGCCTGAAAACGCTCTACAAACTTCTGATAAATTTCTGGGTAATTTTTTGTCAAATCGTCAAGAACCTTAAAAGGTCTGGGCAAGATTTCTAGAATATATGGACCTGGAAATTTTTTTTTAACTGGTTGCCTGTTTTTGAGTTCAAAAATGAAAAGATCCCCATATTAATTTTAAAATTCAGCTGTTTAGAACCGAGACTCCATTCAAAAAGTTCTTTTTGTCATTTTATTATGATTCAATTATTTGATTATCATGATTTAATCATTTAGAGTATTAGAAAAAAGCCGCAAATCAAGCAAAGCGCAATAACTTGAACTTAAAAGGAATCCCCTGGCGCCTTCAATGTGCAAACTGTGTTTCCCTGATTATATAAATTTCTAAATATTTAATTTTTACTATGTAGGTGGAGGAATGTTTCTCGACAATTTGGCTCTTAAAACGAAGATAACACGAAACAGAGTCATCAGGCCGAATCCTGCTACCTAAATCGAGATCATTATAGTACCGTCAGTTCTATGTTAGTATGTGGCGCAATAAATACTAAATTGACTAAATTTTTCTCAATAAATTTTGATTTGTTTTCTCAGAAGTAGTGGGTTGCAAAGGTTACATTTGGTATCGATTGTTCCCTATAACAATGTCTGATTGGAGAATTTGAAATTCCTATGTAGATTTAAGGGGAATTTGTTAACAATTTTTTTGTTTTCGAGGCAGTAGAATTAAACAGAGTAAAAAAAACAAATTAAGGATTGCTGTATTGAACAATCTACATTTACATTTTGCGAGCTATACCTTTGAAATTTTACTGAAAAACTTCAAATTCAAAGCAACTTGTGGCGATGAATTAAGCCATAACAAAGCTATTGCGTTGTATAAATAATTAAATCAAATGACTTGAAATCATGACCTTGAGATTAACTTTTAAAAAAAAATCCTATTTCGGTTTTCTTGGAAGTCTTAGAAAAAATATTCCAAGATTGATAATCATGGCCTCTATGCGGCCTCCTGAGCTGCTTAGCCATCAGATGGAATTCTGAGAATAAGTTTATATATTAAGTTATAAGAGACAGAAATACTTTTGTTGATTCTGGGTAATTTTTTTGTCAAATCGTCAAGAAACTTAAAGGTCTGGGCAAGATTTCTAGAATATATGGACCTGGAAATTTTTTTTAACTGGTTGCCTGTTTTTGAGTTCAAATTTTGTTTTTGAAAATTGGTCTGAAAATTTGTTTTTATTCTTCCGACTTTCGTAACGAAAGTAACGGAATGTTTTTGCTTGGGGTGGGTTTTTTTTTCTTCGGACTAATTTAGAATTTTTAACTAGCCTCTTTTGACTGAATGTTTTTTATCATTCAAAAGGCATTGTTTTTCGCGAAGTTATGGGAGTTTAATGATTGCCATATTGGCCAATTTGCGACAATTAATGTGCGATATATTTCGCGCTATTAATGCGTAAGCGGCGATTTAATGCGTCTTAGAAATCATTCCAAATTGGTTCAAAGAAGCTTATTTGCCATAATTGGTTTTCATAAAAAAAATTTCAAATTTTAGAAATTTTTTTTTCTTTTTGTTTTATTTCATTGAATTTTTATTATATCATACTGCTCCATAAAACTTAAAAAGCAGTCGGAACATTCAGGGCTTCGCCCCGATACGAGCAGTCTTGTTGTGTTTCCAATGTTTCCTTTTTGTACGCTTTGAATCGGATATAGCAATACAAATAGTAGAGAACGAAATGTAATTTAAACACGTCATTGATACTTCAATTAGGAAGTACTGCAAAAATGAGAAATTTGTTGGTTTCGTGTAGCGGTTCCAGGATGTTTGCTCTACTTTTCTTTTATTTGAACTAGTAGTTATTATTCATCCTCAGACTGTTGTATTTGGTTCAAATAGCCGGAGAAACTAGATTGAATCTTTTTTCAATGGTTTTTTGAAATTGTATGAATATTGTATGAGTAGCATTTTTCCATACATTTGATGCAGGCAATTGTATGATAAGCTTTTTCGGTGTGGGAAATTTAAAATAAGCATTTTCGGTTTATGGATGTCAACCCGGGGTCACATTACCTTTCCAGGCCTTTTTGTTGGTTTTAATCGGTTTTCTTTATAAGACCGCTCAAAAACCGCTCAAATCTTGCTTGAAAAACCGTTCCAAAATCACCGCAAGAAATGAGCGGTTTTTGAGCGGTTTTTAAGCAAGATTTGAGCGGTTTGAGCGGTTTTCCAAAAAAAAACGCCCAAACTGCTCAAACCTTGCTGAAAAACCGCTCAAAGCGCTCATATCTTGAGCGGTTTTTGAGCGGGATCTCGACCCGGGCTCTCTCTCCGATGAATAGATTTTAGAGAAAGGTTTGATCTGGTTCAAGAGGCTCTGTTTGAATATTTTCCGGTGATTTGATAGACTGGGTTTGGGAAGTTACACATGCTACCGAGGTCATCCTTCCTCTGATTTTTGAGATCCTACAAACTGCAGTTAATTTTTAAACTATGGCTACAAAATGACTTTAGTTTAGTATGATTTTGTATGAGTTAAAAACTCTCGCAAAGTTTATTTTACTTAACTACTTAACTTAATAAAAAGTGTCCCATAAGCTTAAGCAGCCTTTATCATAAAAAAGTGATTAGTAATGTGCGTGTCATTTCAGTCATACGACAAGTTGCTTAAGAGAGGTTTGAAAAGAGAGGTTATCAGTTTGAGTGCATTTTGTTGTAACAAAATAAGTTACAAAAAGAAGTTGAATGTGTATAAATGGCGTCAAA